GGTCGCTGATTTCCCTTAAGAGTCCTTTAAAAAAAAAAAAAAAAGGGTACAGAGAAATTAGTGAGGGGCTGGATATGCTCTTCTGAATCATCAGATGCTTGCTGCAACCTGGAGATGGATTTTGAAGGCATGTGAACAAAACTGCAGGCCTGTTATGGAAAAGCCACTCAGAATGTGTTTCGAGGCAAGTCTATGCCAGCAGATACCTGAGAACAGCAAGCCCATTTCCATTGAAGTTCGTTAACCCATGGACTTGGCTCTGACCATCAGTGCCATCAGCCAGGCGTCGGCAAGAGCCCGGGTGCAACTTGCGCTACGTCAGCGTCCAAAGAGTGAGCTGCAAACGTGCATGCTGCAATGTACAGCTGCATGTCAGACAAGTGCAGCTACTCCAGGGCAAGCACTGATGTCTGCAAAGGGGATTTCAGCCAAGACCTTGCTTCACGTTCAAACTTTTGCTTAGCACCCAGCATTTCGCTGGAGAGCTTAGGGAGCAGCTGGGAGAGGCATCGGGAGCTAATGCAGTCTAGATGTTATACAAAGGAAGTGGCAACCTCTGCTAGACAGCTGATGTAGCAGCTCCAGGAGCCGGATGGTGGCTAAGAGAGGCTACTTTGTAGCAACATAACTACTAGTGAGGACAGAGCAGCTGAGAGGGAGGCCCCAGTGGGGCCCCCTCTCTTTTCCTGGGGATACTGGAAGCATTAACAGGAGCAGATGCATTTCATGAGGGGGAAGGGGTCACAGTCTCATGAAATTACTTTCCATCACATTACAACAGCGGCAGCCGCTCTTACACCACCTATGCCCAGTAGCGCTCTTCAGCTGTGGGTGTCAAAGCCCTTTACAAAATAAGAGCACTTATCACCTCTCTGCAGAGGGGGAAACTGCAGGGGCAGGGGAGAGCATAGGAAATGAACCGATTTCACCCTGGAGAGGAACGTGCAGATCAGGCACAGAAAACTCTCCAGAGTGGCCTGTGCGGCAGCTCTAATTAATCCCATGTCTCAGTCACATGTTCTGCCCAAAGCAAGCGTCTAAAACACTGGTCTCAACCAACTGAGTGTCACAAGTTTCATGAAAGAGTCTATAAAAGGTAAAGCTAAACACTGACCAGCCACATCCAAAAATTCAGAAAAGGTTTCAACTGGCATGAACTCCTCCTGGAAGGTTTTCAGGGCTTTGTCTGCAGCTTCGTGTATCGGCATGTCGTTGTGTCGTATAAATTCAGCCAGAGAATAGGACCAGCCTCCCTCTGTGTTACTGGTAGGCACCTTCTACGGAAGGGGAGAAAAGGGTCAAG